TCAATCTTAGCTCCCTTGCCTACCTGTAAGTACAGTGGCCTGGTCCATGGAAGCTGCTAGAAGTTATTCCTTTCCTATCAAACATGTGCTCAATCTTTCCCACTCCAGTATTCTCAGACCCCTTTCCTTGAGCAATCTACTGTACCTTCCCACCACCACAGCCCTTGTCTGAGGTGGCATGTCCCAGCTCAGAGTTCCTCACCTTTCCCCATTATCTTTTTAAAAAGGATATTATTTTTATTTAAAAAAAATAAAAATTAAAAAAGAAGAATAAGCAACTTTGCAGGCACTGCTATAGTTAACACAAATTTGACATGAACTAGATCCGGGATACCTGCCAGCTACAGGTTGCTTTTCTCCCAGAAGTGTAACACTTGCCTAGGTACAGGGTAACCTAGGCAGTTGACCTAGAGCTAGGACTAGGTGTATTCTTATCAGGCAACTTTCTCCCACTGCTGAGATTTTTAAGTCTTAAGTGCAACTTGGCTTTCTCTGTAGTTTTGTCTTGGCTTATAATTTGATTTCCTGTTTCCTATACTTGTTTTCTTTAGTTCTTCAAGCAAGAGTGTCACTGTTTCTTTTCCGTGGTGATAATAAGCTCGGGCAACACATTTCCTCAGTGCTGCCTTGGCAACATCCTGTCGAGCTCCTCTCATAAACTCAAGTCTTGCCAAGATTTCCTTCTGCCTCATCCTCCCTGCTGCCTTGCCAAAGAGCTATCAGTGCTCCACTGCCTGAGGATTTTTGATATTTTGTTCAATCTGGGATTTTCCCCCCTGTTAATTCATATTTCTTTTAAAAATGCCTTCAAATATTTCTCTTATTGACTGTTGGGATCCTGGAGGAGGCAAAACCTTCTGTGTACACCTCAGTCTAGTGCCAGTCCTACAGCAAAGGTTGCAGGCAATTTCTGTTAGCAGTTTTCTTTTGAAATGGAGGGCTGATGGCAGAGAGACTGAGAAATGTCCAGACATAGCTAGCTAGCTGTGCTGGCTGCCCGAGATCTGTTTTCTGCTTTCCCTGCCCCTGTTGTCCCTTCCCTACTAACATGTCAGGCTTTCAGCTCAGCAGAAGGCCTTGTTCATGTGCAGCTGTTGGCACTGAGCATGACCACATCCCTGTTAGGGATGTCTGGGATCATTTCATTTTAGAGAGGTCAAAGATCACTGTCTCACCCGCAGGAATAAGCCCTCAGGGCTCCTGAGCCCCCGCAGATCCTAGGCAGGGTCCTTGGGGCCCGGAGCATTCCTTTCTCTGCTGGAGTCTGTCAGTTAGCTCTGGCAAAAATCAAGCTTCCTCACCTCACATTTACCTCATCACACAAACTTGCCGGAGCAATGAGGGAGAAGAAATTTGTTCTTCTAATCCCCAAATGTCAGAACTTGAAGGGCCCTGTGAGACCATCTCGCTCCACCTCCCTCATTTAAGAGAACATATCATTTCCTTTGCTGTATTTCCATGTTCCAAGGAATCCCCAAGGCCGCCCATAATAAGAATCATGAGCAAGGTAGGAGCCAAGTTCATTAAGGAGTAAACTATGCGATCCAGCTGCGTGCATAGAAGACTAAGTCATTAGAAATGCGGCCTTGGCCTGGGGATTGGTTTACGAAGGATTTTCTTCAAGGGCAGAGAGAAGGATCTGCCATGGCTCAACTCCAGAGTTTTTTTGTGTGTTGGCTTGAGTGTGGGGGTGGGAGGAGAGGGGGTTGCGGAGGCTGGAATAGGTTTCCTTAGCTTTCAGCTGCACTGAGAAGTTTTTAAAGTTTGACTTCAAAAGGGCTTGCTTCTACTTCTGACTGATCTGGATGCTACAGGCCAGTTGACAAAACTTGTTTCTGTGCCTCTTACTTCTTCCCCAAACTGCCTCTCTAGGCTCCCTGCTGTCAGGATGTGGCTGGCAGTTCTGAACTGGGTCAAAAACACAGGCTCCACATTGTATGAGCACTGTTCCTGACCAGCATGGCTTTCTCCATATGCTTGTACTTGGGGCAAGATTCACCCTGCACCAAACATTCCTCTGGGTTAGCCTCTAAGCAGTGGGAGGGTGATTTTTAGCAACATCCTACAGATGAAAAGAACAATCCCTGGTGGTAGCATTGTGGTGTTGTGAGTTAGGCTGCTGCCTGCAACACCATCATGTCCTGTAAGGGCTAGTTGGAGTTCCACTGCTTCACATCTGTTCCAGCTCCCTGTTAATATGCCTGGGAAAGCAGCTGATGATCCAAGAGCTTGGGCTCCTCCTGTCCACATGGAACATCTGGATTGAGACCACTTGGATGTGAATCAGCAGATAGAAGATGTCTTTCTCTGTGTCAGTCGTTGTGTCTTGTCATTCTCCCTTGCAAGTGTGTAGAGTTTTTCAAAAACAAGGAATAAAAGGCAGAAAGACCGAGGGAAAGAGAACCTCTTATAAGGTCTTTCCCTCCCATAATGTCCTAGTTAGTAGGCGGCCAAGCTGAAATGAGGCCCTAGAACTGAGCCCAGGTTTCCCAGGCCTGTGGCAGGGTCCTAAGTCCTTGAACCATCACCTGCTGCCTACCACAGGATATGAACAGGAAACTGGAATTGGAAAAAGAACCTGGACCTGAACCCCAGCTCTACAAGGTAAGATGCGGGCATAATAGGAAATATCTGACCACCTGTCTCATGCCCAGCATGACCAGCACACAGCTGTGTTTTAAAACCTGATTTTTGAGGGCCAGTGTTATGGCACCATAGCTTGGTAAGGTCAGCCTCCCATATGAGCACCAGATTCTTCTCTGTCCCATTTCTGATCCAACTTGTTAATGCCCCTGGGGCAAACAGGGCAAGATGGCTTGAGTGCTTGAGTCCCTGACACTCATGTGGGAGACCTATATGAAGCGCAAGGCTCCTGACTTCAGCCTTGTGCAGTCTCAGCCATTGTGATTATTTGGAGAGTGAACCAGTGGATGAGAGAGGTCTCTCCTGCTCACTATAATTCTGTTTCAAATGAATAAATCTTAAGCATAGAATAAATGTAATAGTACTGGAAATTTAAAAACACATACTTTTGTTTATCTCACAGGTAGACAGGCAGAAACAGAGGAGTTCTGCTTACTCAGTTCCCAAACACCAGCAGTATCCATCCCTAGCTGCTGCCGTCATTTCAGTTGACGACTCAGCAGATGGATGATCTCTTTTTTCCTCTCACTTTGTAGCTTTCAAATAAGTCTTTTAAAAGAATTTTAAGGGCCTGGTATAGTATCCTAGTGGCTAAAATCCTCACCTTGCATGTGCCGGGATCCCATATGGGTGCTGGTTCATGTCCTGGTAGCCCAGCTTCCCATCCAGCTCCCTGCTTGTGGCCTGTGGAAGCAGTTGAGGACGGCCCAAAGCCTTGGGACCCTGCACCCGCATGGGAGACCTGAAGTAGCTTCTGGCTCCTGGCTTCAGATTGCCCAAGCTCTGGCTGTTGTGACCACTTGGGGAGTGAAACAACAGATGCAAGATCTCGCTCTCTGTCTCTCCACCTCTCTGTGCAGCTGACTTTCCAATCAAAATGAATAAAACACTTTAAAAAAAGAATTTTAAAGGTCTGGAGGACTGCCTGATGCTATGTGATTAGTAAAAAAATGTCTTTTAAAATGTTAAAGATTTATTTAGGGCCCAGCACAGTGGCACAGTGGTTGGGGTCCTCGCCTTGCACGCCCGGGGTCCCATATGGGCACCGGTTCTAATCCCGGCGGCCCCTCTTCCCATCCAGCTCCCTGCCTGTGGCCTGGGAAAGCAGTAGAGGACAGCCCAAGGCTTTGGGACCCTGCACCCGCGTGGGAGACCTGTAGGAGGCTCCTGGCTTCAGATCGGCATAGCATCGACCGTTGCGGCTCACTTGGGGAGTGAATCATTGGACGGAAGATCTTCCTCTCTGTATATCCGTCTTTCCAATAAAAATAAATCTTTTAAAAAAAGATTTATTTAACATAATGACATATAGAGAGGGAAACAGAGATGGGGGGGAGGGAGGGAGGAGAGGGAGAGAATGATAGAGATCTCTTATCTGCTGAATCACTCCTTAAATGACTGCAATGGCTAGGACTCGGTCAGGCCAAGATGCCTAGGATTCTTTTTGTGTCTCCCATGGGGTGTCAGGGTTCCCAAAAAACTTGTCCTACCACCTGCTGCTTTTTCAAGTGCATTACTAGCAACGTGTTAAGTCAGACACAACTCTTCTGGTGATCAGATATGGAATACTAATATCACAAATGGCAGCTTAACCCAGTGTGCCACCAAGCTCATCCCAAGAAGGGAAGCTTTATCTATTGATTCCAGAACCCATGCTTGCTCTAAAAAGTGTCATGGCATGCCACAAGAGGAAACAGAAAACTGGATAGACAGGGGTCCATGTAAATGAAACCACTATCTTGATCTGATTTGCAATGAATTCTGGCATCAAGCTTGACTTTTGGGAAGCACAGAAGAAAACTAGCAACGTGGTGCTAGTCCTAAAGGGGCACTGATACTCACCAGAACTTACCTCTGCGTAGCTTTGTGTTCTGTTCTTGCAACATTTTTCTTCAGACTGGCAGAAGGTAAGGAAATCGCACTAAATGAAGTGGTTTAGGTGGTGTTTAGTCATGTGCGGTGAACATTGGTGTGTGTGTGTGTGTGTGTGTATGTGTGCGGCCAGATTTGGTGCTGTCCACTTCAACTTTGTGTTGGCCTAAGCTATCTAATAGGCACACTCTTTACAATGACTCAGAAAGTTGTATCGTTGTGATTACAAAATGAATGATCAAATTAGGTGTGGATTTTGAGGAGAAACAGGGAAGCTGCAAGTAGCTGATCTATAGACTGTGGTTATTTTGGACAATCCAGACTGTTTAGAAACTTGGACAAAGGAGTCTATCACTGTATCTTGGGTGGTTAGACCGTAACTCATGATGAGTTCTTGACACCTGTTTGCTACTCAATCATTAGTCCTAGGAATTGGATCCATTTCCCTCTTATGAATGAAGTCAGTCTGACAAAGAGTGGATGCGATATTTTTTTTAATTCATTTTTTGCCCAGCTTGTTGGATACCCTGAATTTGCACAGGGAGACTGCTCAAATGTGCTGGGAAATATTCACCAGCCTGATGTTAAGGGTGTTCCAGCTGGGTTGGAATGCTGCTGGGTGGTGGTGGTGGGGGGGGGTAAGGTGAGAGGAGTCAAGACATGTCGTTAGCTCACAGGTTAGCAAGCAGCCAATCTAACAGTTGCTTTCTAGCCATGTTACCCACGGCTTTGTCCAGCTGACGTTCTTTGGCGAACTTCATGACCTCCTGGAGAAGATCTCCCACACTGTAGCCCTTCTCCGCTGCCTTAGCTGAGACTTCAGGAAGCTGTGAAGAGATTGAATCAGTTTGAATCACCAAGTACTTTCTAGAAGAAAGGTCTGCTAGACCAACTGAATGCTTCCCCCAACTCCCCTTCTCTTCTTCCCTGCCACCGCCTTCCTACTCACAATTCTAGGATTAAAATGTGCAGTCATCACTGGAAGTGGACTGTAAGTACAGGTCTGCCTTCTTCCCTCTGCTCTTTTCAACCAACCCTCTCTTCCCTAGAGCCTTGGTGAATTGCTTACCTTCTCCAGTTGTCCATCATCATCGCCCATGAAGTAGAGCATTGGCACATTATACTGGGAGGCGGCAATCCACTGCAAGACAGCCTGTAGCTGCTTCTGCAAGCTGCTGGTAGAAGACTGATTATTGACGATTACTTCTGGCCTCTGGGAGTCTTGGTATTTCTGTGACATGCCACCGATGTGACTACAACGAGAGCCAAAATTGGAATTGCTACTCGAGCCTGCTTGTTCTTCCAGTTCAGCCAGAGCGGCTCCATTGTTGCTGTACTTGGCCATGATAAGGCACAACTTCATCACAGATTCTACCAGTTGATCTATAAAGTGGCGGTTCACTTGCTTCACGCCACTCATGAAGTCCGGGTCTTGATTGTCCATGCTCTGATCTTCTTCACCTCTGTCAGCTCTCTTGGACATGCAGCTTAATTTGCTTGCTTTGGTCTTGCTGTCATTTTCATATTCATCACCATTTATGGAGCTTTCACTAAGCAGCCTTTGAATCAGCGATAGGACAATGCTTGACATGTCCAATTTTGGGCAGTCCAGCTGCTGACTGTCTTTGGAAGATACTGATGGTCCAAGACCTCCACGAGATTCCAGATGTTTCATTGAAAGTGATTTGGAACTTTGACCGTTTCCAGACTTTTCGTAATGGGCAGTTTGAGTCAGATAAGTAGTACCAGGACCCTCCTCTTCATATGAATCTTTGCCTTTGGCTTGCTGGGTCAAATGATACTGGATCAACATAAGGGCAGAAACAATCAGATCCTTAGCCAGTGAATCTGTGGAAGGACTGAGTTGTTGAGTTTTCTCGTCTTTACTAGTGCATGTTTTGCTAGGCATCTTGCCCTGATTTCCTTGCTTTTGATTCCACATAGTTAGACTCTCTTTGAGGATGTGTTCACCAACCTTTTCAGCACTGGTCAGTGCTTTGTCCTGGTCTGCTTTCATTTTGCCTTTGTCTTTCCCCTTCACTTCGGCTTTCATGGCGGAGAATTCGAGACTCTGATTCTTGGATTTTAGATCGTGGGATCCAGCTTTCAATGTTGCGTAAGACAGACTCTGAGATTTAGTCTCCTTTTTCTCTCCAAGAAGGGCACTGACTAAGCGTTTCAGCATGGCTTCCATAATATCAGCAGCATTTTGTCTTCCATGGTTAAACAGATTCCTTTTGACAGCTGAGACGAAGTCGGAGTCCGTCATGAGGACACCGGTGATGTTATGCAGGTTCTTCATACAGGAATCAATCAGATCAGACACGATTTCCTTGGTGTGTTTTAATAGCACCCTTTTCAGGACCACACAGGCTGGAATTGGCTTTCCTGAACTATGCATCTTTAAGGTTTTCATAACAGAGACCATCATATCAGATGCTAATTGATTGGCATAAACCATGAGCCCCTTACTTAAGGAATCTGCAAAATCTTTGCTATCTCTTTGGCATAGTTGTTTATCTGAACTCCTGGTCCTGTTAGTCAGCTCACTATACAGAAAAGTTTTGCGGCCACCGTCCCTGCTGTCGTCACCAGTACTACGCATTTCAGATGATGTCATTTCTACAGCATCGTGGGCCAGTTCAGAAGCAATCTTGCTCACAGCACTGCGAGGACTATTCTTCCCTTTTTCCCCAGAAGGAGAATAGATGGATTGATGGAAACATTTGCTTCCGCCTTCCAACTTCTCCTTGATTTCTTTACGGGCCATTTGGATTACCAGGGAAGACAGTCGGTTGACGTAGTAGGAGAGGTCATCCATAGAGCACTCTGTTTCAGATGAGGCAACTGACCTTTGGGTGCTTGAAGACTTGGCTATAGGACTTGAAGGACTTTGGTTGTTGTTAGTATTTTTGGATGCGGTCAATTCTAGATGTGTGGTTTGAGAACTGTTGCCTGTACAATCTATGTTTAGTTGATCAGCATAGACACTGTAGCCATTTGCAGTGGATGATCCAGGTTGTTCATTTCCTATATCTCCTACTTTGTGTTTACAACTTGAGGCTGAGGGGCTCAGTGCATGTTGGAAACCCAAGGCATATTTTTGGAGGTCATTAAGAAGCCAATTAATAACACTTATGGAGTCGGAGGGAGTTTGTTTGAACAGGCATACGGATCCCTCCGTCTGGAAAAAAAAAATCATCTGTCAGGGTCATGATCTCTATGGTCATTGTGGTTTGATCAGGGCTGTGTGTCTTAGTGTATGAATGTTTATGTGTTATATGCAAGACTAAGAGGATGGATGTTTGTATATGTGTCCCCATATCTGTATGCCTTTGTAGATCTTTGCATGTGTGTGAGTCCTTGTGTAAGAATAGGTCAATGTACTCAGGTTTGTTACAACTATTTTGTGTGTCCAAATATGAGTTAGAGTGTCTCTGAATGCAAATGAGCAAGTGTCAACAAGTGTTCTACCTATGTCTATAACTCATAATTTATGAATTTATATAAAGTAATCCATATATTAGTGATCTGTGTAATTTCTACATGCTTAATCGGATAGCAACTTATATTTTATCAATACTTGACAATGTGTCAGTGTTGCAGAGTCTGGCATTTGAGTATGTGTAAGTATCTGAGTGTGTCACAGCATTTGTATCAATGTGTGCTTTAAAGCACACAACCCACTGTGTCAATGGCTGTGTATCACTTGATGTTAAGTTTGTGTGTGTATATGTTAGCATGATTGTGTGACCATGTATATCCTATACATACTTATATTTAAGTGTGTATGTCAAAACATGAGCCTGTGTAGTCACTGTGGCTTGATGGATGCCATGTGCTAGTGTTATGAGTAGTGTTTATTCATTATGTGCATAAATGTAGAAATGGGCATTTATATGTCATACATGCAGACATGTCACTACATCTGACACTGTGTGTCTATATCTACATATGTGGGACCACTTTAAGAAATAGATTTGTTACACCAATTTTGTGTGTCAAAATGTCAGAGTGTCTCTTAAAATAGATGAGGAAATGTGAACAAATCAATGTTCATTCTATTATAATTTATTGATTTCTTTAAAGGATAATTCCACATACTAGTGATTGTATAATGACTGTGCATGGTGAATTGGGTATGATTTTGTGCTATATCAATGCTTTACAATGTATATGTTAGTGTTGCACTAATCTGGCGTATTGTCTTTGTGGCAGTATGTGATTCTAGGCATACAAACAAGTGTATCAACAACTGTCACTTGGTGTAAGTTTGTGTGTATGTCAGCATGTTCATGTATGATGTGTATACTAAAACATGAGTCTATGTGGTCACTGTGGTTTGATCAATACTATATGTATTAGTGTTCCTGTAACTGTAATAATGTATGATTCAAAGTGTACAAACATATGTGCCATTGACTATGTGTCAGTTGGTAAAAGTTTGAATGTGTGTATGTTAGCATGATTGTGTATTACATGCATACACATTCATATGTATGTATATGTATGCATGCTACAACCTGTATGTCTATGATCACTGTGGTTTGAATAAGGTTGTGTGTATTAGTGTATCAGTATACGTGCATGAATGTGGGGATGCATGTTTGCATTTGTAACATATGGTCATGGTTTGCTTCTGACACTGTGTGCCTTTGTAGCTGTGTTGTGAGAGTCCTTGTGTAAGAGTAGGTCAATGTATAGGTTTCTTTAATTTTGTGTGTCCAAATATAAATGAGAGTGTCTGAGTGTAAATGATCAAGTGTCAATAAGTAATTGATGAATGTATATGCCCTAACTCATTTATGAATTTATGTTAAAGAGTAAATCCTTATATTAGTCATTGTGTAATGACTGTGCATGTTTAATTAGCTAGAATGTGTGTTTTGTTAATGCTTGACAATGCATTTGAGCATGTCTGAGTTGGATGTGTCATTGCATTTATATCAACGTATGTATGATTCAAGGTGTCAAGTGTGTTAATGATCATGTGTCAATTGGTAAAGTTTGCATATAGGTATGTTAGCAGTATTGTGTTTGACCATGCAAGTTTTTTCATAGTGATGTATACTATAAGCGTATATGCCAACATCTATGTTTTCAAGGTGACTGTGATTTGATCAAGACTGTGTGTGTTAGTGTTATGTGTGTTTACACATGTGTGTGAATGTGAGGATAGGTGTTTGCATGTTATACCTGTAGACATGTTTCTGCATCTGATACTGTGTGCCTTGTAAATCTTTGCACATGTGTAAGTCTTTGTATAAGAATAGGTCAATGTACTCAGGTTTGTTACAACTCTTTTGTGTGTCCAAACATAAGAGTGTCTCTGCGTGTAAATGAGCAAGTGTCAATAAGTAATCAGCTATAAATTATGTGTATAAATTCAATTAGTGATTGTGTAATGACTGCATATTTAATTTGGTATGGATTTATATTCTATCAGTGCATGTCAAACGTGTATCAGTGTTGCTCAGTCTGGCATTTGAGCATGTGTGAGAGTATCTGAATGGGTGTGTCACTGTATTTGTATCACTGTGGGAGTCAAGGCCTACACATCTGTGTATCAGTGATTACACTGTTACTTGATGTCTCTGTGTGTGTATGTTAGCATAATTGTGTGACGATGTTATGTCTTTGCATAGGTATGTATATTTAAGTGTGTATGCTGAAAGATGAGTGTGTAGTCACTGTGGTTTGATGAATGTGTATGTATTTATGTGTGTATTTATGTATTGTGTACGTGAATGTGGAGATAGGTGTTTATGTGTGATGCCTGTGGACCTGTCACCACATCTGACTCTGTGCATATGTTTTTTTTTTACATATATACCTCTCCTTGTTTAAGACTAGGTCAATGTGTTTAAACCTGTTACATCAATGTCATGTATTTATCAGTATCTCATGTAGCCAGGCATGTTTTTGCCATTGCTTATAGAAATTATTTTTAAATGTAGTAAATGTGCACTAATTGTGTCATTTTGTATAAACTGATGGTATGTGCACATGCTTGTGACAGTCCATTTTGGAATATGTGTCATACATACGGTTTTTCTTTCCCTTCTTCCGTTGCTTCAACCCCTCTCTTTTCACTGAGGTCATGAAATGGTCAGCTTTTTGCAAATAGGTTTAAGTTGCAGTCAAGGAGATCTGGGTTTTGTGTGGTAAATATGGGTTGCTTTTTTTTTTTTTTTAATAAACACCAAAACTAAAATGGAGTCAGCTACCCCTGACTAAACCCCAAACTCTTTGGGGGAATGCTGTGAACCTGTTTTTTCCCTCCTTGGGTGACTGTTGTCACTCTGAAATGGGGCCTGAAATGATACTTTTGTAATAAACTAGGAGCCCAGAGACATAAAAAGAAATATTTGACTCCTTTGCACTAATGCCAAATGTCTTGTGCCTACAACAGGAACTCCAGGCTTGTAAGAATGTGAGAGTGAATTGTTGTGTGCTCCAATTCCCTCTCCAAACAGGAAACCTGATATATTCTGGGATACTTAACACAAAAACAAAAGGATTCTGTATGCAACGGTGGCATGAAATCCCAATTGTTTCTAATTTGGAATGACCCAAACATCTGGGTAATCTCTTAGAGTATCCAGAGTTAAGACTAGGCACCCAAATTGGTAGTTACTATGAATTTTCTGTTCCTTATTCTTTGTTGGATGTTGGCAATGAGTACCGCACAAGTCCACTCTAAATCAGCAAGGAACATTGCTTAGAATGTTGCTTGTGAGGCTACATCTTTGACAAAGAGGAGAAACGTTCCTTTGGAGTGGGTACATGAGACTAGAAAAGAGTATTCTGAATTTCTTTGATTAATGAATGTCACCATTAGGCATCAGTGTATTGCACTTCCTGTGGCCTCAACTTAGCCTTGTGTTCTTTATATTGTTGTAGTGTTGAAATTGATGGGAATGCTTGACAATAGGTTTCTTGCTGTGTCTGGACCAGAGTCATTGGACTTTGTGTTGGACTTAGGAATCAGAAGTGGTGGAACCTCACGTGTTAACTATACCTTGGACTGTTCTTGTTTCTCAGTGTCTTTGATCACGATGATTTCTTTCTCTTCTAGGCGGTCCAGGTTTAACTCGCTTTCTGAGGTGGAACCAGTAGCATCCTATGGAATCCAAGGGCCATATTCTTAGGAATAGTTGCTTTTGGAGACTTCTCCATGCTGCTCCTTCCACCCACCCAACCCATCACTTCAAATCATGAATGTCATGGTTCTTGTTACTCTTTGGCTTCCTGCAGGAGAAGTAGTAGGCTTGTAATGCTAATTTGCCTCTGAAGACAGACAAAAGTTTCTTCCAGAAACTGCTATTTCTCCTGCAGAAGGTGCTCACAAAGTCATCAAGAGCCATGTAGAACCATACTGATTTCATCATCACCTGTTTGGAGAGCTTGGCTTTTTTTTTTGGGAGGGGGGAACTTTTCTGACATGCTATCTGCCATGCTTTGATTCTTTCAGTCTTATTAGAAACTTCTAAATAAGTTCTAAAATGAGACTCGGAATTTAGAGTGATGGTAAAATCACAGGGATCCCAGGTCATGGGGATGATGATTTCCACCTGAATTGTCTCTGCTTTCCTGTCCTACACCACATCTTTTCCCTTTATTTGTACTTGACTCATAATCCATCTCAGTAGTTTCCCATCCACTGCAGCTCTGAGCTGCAAATACGTACCTTGCCCTCTTTGTCTTCAACGTTCAGAGTGGACACATCCACGAAGCATATCTGCATCAAATTAGGAGCATGAGTTTAGAAAGACTAAAGTGAAGGCTCTCTTTGAGATGGCAATACACTTACCTTATGACATCCTTGTGAAGACTAACTTGGATAGTACATGTGAAAGGAGCTTTATGAATGGTATGAAACATAGAAAGTCCTCAATGAATGTTAACCTTGTGAATATTGTTAGACAGACTATATACTATATCCCTAAATAAGAACAGCAATCTGCCATAAGCTCAACTTGTGTTAACTGAGAAAACTGAGAAGTAGCTTGTCCAACTGCACAAGTTCAAAGGTAGAGCTTGTATCAGAACTAGATTTCCTTTGCTTCAGGTTAAGGACATTTTCTACTACATCAGTTTTCTGAAAATGTTGCATGTAAAGGGTTTCAGGTGATACATGACTAAACATTAGTGTTTGATATATGTGTTTTATTAGAACCTCAAACCTGTAAAATTATGGACAATACTTCCTAAGATGACAAATTTTTAAAATGTAAGTTAATTTTAAAAACATTGTATTAAGTGTATAATTGCATGAGAACACGGAGCTGGTAAGAACTAGGAAATACTAGGCAAATCCATTGAAGTAACAGTATGAAGGCATAACAGTATGAAGTGGTTGAAGTATTTCTTCCTCCAAGGGATCCTGGGATAACTTGCTGGTGGAGAGGCAATGTTATTATCACTTAACATGTCTTATGCAATAGGCACTGGCTACCAAGCAGCCACTTCTCTGCCCCACCCATGGCTCTGCCAGGTGCCCCTCCCACCTCTTACATCACTTCCACCTTGTCCCGCCCATGGCTCTGCCAGGTGCCCCTCCCACCTCTTACATCACTTCCACCTTGTCCCGCCCATGGCTCTGCCAGGTGCCCCGCCCACCTCTTACATCACTTCCACCTTGTCCCGCCCATGGCTCTGCCAGGTGCCCCCCCCCACCTCTTACATCACTTCCACCTTGTCCCGCCCATGGCTCTGCCAGGTGCCCGCCCACCTCTTACATCACTTCCACCTTGTCCCGCCCATGGCTCTGCCAGATGCCCCGCCCACCTCTTACATCACTTCCCATCCTGCCCCACCCTGATGGAATGGCCCCTTTGTGACGTAGGTGTGCCCACCCACCTGCAAGTTGCTTGAAGTCAAGTATTGCTTGCCATTCATTAGCTTATGTGGGCTCTAGAATATCTATACCCATGTGTCAATACATTTCTACTGCATTGATAGTTGCTTTACATCTTACCACTTTCCGATGCTGATCTTGTTGTCCCTTTGGGCTGTAAAGATCAACCTTGCACACGCCCCTGCGGCTGTGTAACCAGTCAATATCATCAGACATCTAAAAAGAGTCAGAAAACAAGTTACAAATGGTTACATATGGGTTTGAGAAATGAGACTAGCTTGTATATGACTCTCTGGAAGGATCCTGAAACCCACCTTTTCACTCTTTCACTTTTTACCCCCTCTTCTACCCCATCCCCTCCTCCCCATCCCACTCCTCCCCCTCCCTCCTCTAACCCCCTCCTTCCTCTGGCCCCTCCCTCTTCTAGCCCCTCCCCTCCCATCCCTCCCCTAGCCCCTCCCCTCTCACTCCCCTCCCTTAGCCCCTCCCTTCTCTCTCCCCTCCCCTAGCCCCTCCCTTCTGACTCCCCCTCCCTCCCCTAGCCCCTCCCCTCCCCTAGCCCCTCCCTTCTGACTCCCCCTCCCTCCCCTAGCCCCTCCCTTCTGACTCCCTCTCCCTCCCCAGCCCCTCCCTCCCTCCCCTAGCCCCTCCCTTCTGACTCCCCCTCCCTCCCCTAGCCCCTCCCTTCCCCCTCCCCTCCCCTAGCCCCTCCCTTCTGACTCCCCCTCCCTCCACAGCCCCTCCCTTCTGACTCCCCCTCCCTTCCCTAGCCCCTCCCTTCCAACTCCTCCTCCCTCTCCTAGCCCCTCCCCTCGGACTCCCCCTCCCTCCCCTCCGACTCCCCCTCCCTTCCCTAGCCCCTCCCTTTGACTTCCCCTCTCTCCTCTAGCCCCTCCTCTCTTCACCCCTCCCTGTTTTGGCCCCTTCCCTCCCCTTACCAGTCTCTTCTCCCTCCTCCCCCTCCCCTTCCTCCTCTTTCCCTCCTCCCTCTCTTCCTCCCCTTTCCTACATTTTGGTAAGTTATCCTCTATTGACTATTCTTTCACATAGTATTACCTTCCTACCCATCACCTTACCATTCTGGCCCCCAAATGGGCTTTCCACTCAAGAACGTGTACAAAACCTTGAAAAAAAAGTTATAGAAAAACAATTCCTATGCTCTCAAAGGGGGAGATTCTTTGTTTCAAAGAAATACAGAACACAAACCTAGGAAAGAGAGGAGGAGGCATAGAAGTCCCTCGTGTGATCTGGGTATATAGCCTCAGTTCAAATCCTAAAAAAACTTTTAAAAAGTTTTTATATATATTATATATATATGAACTCATTACCTTGTAGTGAAGTTGGTTTCAACGTTGGGCCACCCAGAAAGGAGCTATGCCCCGTTAGATGGAACAGGGCAGTGCCAAGTTTTTGGGCACCTGCAGCTGGCTGCCACCCTGGTCAGCTGTTGGAGCAGACTGACTGGCCAGGCCTTTGGCTCCTGGCTCTACCACTGGGGTATGACAGCATAATTTGCTGAGTCACAATGCCCAGTGCTACATCAGACTGGCCAAGGGCGTGGCTCTCTGGCAAGCTCAGTAAGCTCTTCCCTTCAAAGTCTATCACTTGTCTGCTTTAGGACATGTTTTTTTTGGGGGGGGGTTGGAGATTAAGAGGGGACATATATTTAATGTTTTCTCCAGTTCACAACCTCCAATGTCTCCATTCCATTTCTTGTTAGATTTCCAGATCAACCTAGGGATAATCTTTACCTGATTGACAGAGGCCTGTAGTACTCCCAAACAGAAGTCCCCCAGTCTCTGAGAGTCTTAAGTGCTCATTTTCATTATTTAAACCTAATTATTTTTAAATCTCCCAATAAAAAATCAGAGTCATGTGGCAAGAGATCTTTATGTTTGTGTAGAAACTGAGCAATGTTGATAAAGACTTTTCTGGGCCCTGTGCTCCCAAACTATGAAACAGAAACTGGAGGCTGCCTTCACAGCTTCTGTAGCCTCACCTCACCACTAAGACAGCCCTAAAAGCCAGTCCAAAGGAAGGGGGAGGATACTTTACCTTCTTAGAATCAGGATACGTGATCGTGAAGGACATTTGAATGATGTTAGTTGCCAAGTTGGATGCTGAGGTGACCCTGGTAGTCTGCTTCAAGGTGGTACTTCTTGACTCAACCCTCCATACCCTTTTAAAGGCCAATTGCTCATTGGGGCAGGAATATATAGCTTAGGGCTCAGCTGTTTCTATGGAGAACAGTGACAGAACAAAGTCAGGGTCTTTGTTCTTAGGTTTTTGAGCTGTCATTGGTTTAGCTAGTTCTGATCATCAAGAAGCATGACTAGTTCAGAAAAAGGTTGAGCCAATTGGTAGAATCAGCCTTTCACAGACTCCTAAACCATGAAAAGGTTCAAGTACCATTCAGTCCCTTTGACTCCAGCCAGTGTTAAATTGGTGGTTATAGTGTTTTTAGACGATTACCCATTACACTTCCAGTTGCTTTCTGTTTAGACTAAGTTTGAAGCATTCATTTACAACCCAATGGATATCACTGTGTCCAAGTCTTCTCTCTTCCCCACACTGCCCTGTCCTTTTCCTACATGTCTCCATTTTAACCTCATACGTGTGAATAAATACATCTGAATTAATAGTTAATCAAGCTGACCATCTAAGTAATAGTTTCATATACTTTATAATACAGATTTATTTATTGGGGCTGGCATCGTGGACAGCAACAAGCTGACACCCCATATGAGTGCAGGTTCAAGTCCTGGTCCTGCCACTTCATATTCATCTCCCCCCCTCAACCCCCCCCCCCATGAGCCTGGGAAAGTACCACAAGAATCCCAGAGTATTTGAGTCCCTGACATCCAGGAATGGAGTTCCTCACTCCTGGCTTCAGTCCCTCTGACTCTCACCCTCTCCTGAAAGGTAGAGCTACCCAGGACAGGGAAGGACATGGAAGACAGAGGGAGAGAAGGAGGGATAGGAGGAAGGGGGGAATAAGAGAGAGAGGGAGTGAGGGAGTAAGGGAAGAGTGGGAAGGAGGGGGAGAAGGAAGGAGGGAAGGATGGCAGTGAGGGAATGAGCAGGAGAGGGAGTAAGGGAGGGAAGGAGTGAAGGGAAAGATGGAAGGAGAGAAGGAAGGAGGGAATAAGTGGAGAGAGGGAAAGAAGTGAGTAAGGGAGGGAGTGAAGGCATTGAGGTAATGAGGCAAAGAGGGAAGGAAGGAATGAGGGGAGAGAAGGAAGGAGTGAGGGAAGGATGGAATGAAGAGAAAGGGGGAATGAGGGTAGTGAAGGAAGAAGGAGAGGGAAGGAAGGAGAGAATAAGGGGGGAAGAAGGATGAGAGGCAGGAGTAAGGGAAGGAGGAAGTAGATGAGTGGGGAAAAGGAGTGAAGTGAGAGTGGGAAGGAGAGGGAGGAAAGGAGTGAGTGAGAGGAGAGAGGGAAGGAGGGTGGAGATGAAGGAGGAAGTGAGGGAAGTAGGGAGTGAAGGGAGAGAGGGAAGGAGGGTGTGAGGAGAGAGAAGGAAGATAGAATGAGGGGAGAAAAGGAAGGAGAGAAGGAGTGTAATAGGAAGAGGGAAGAAGGCAGTGAGAGGAAATGTGGGAATAAGGGAGCAAGGGGATGAGAGGGAAGGTAGAAAGGAGGGAGTAAGAGAAGGAGGGAGTGAGGGGAGAAAGAGAAGGAAGGAGAGAGGGAAGAAGGGAGTGAGGGGGAGAAGGAATGTGGGAAGAAGGGAGTGAGGAGGGAATGTGGGAAAGAGGGAGTGGGGGAAGGAGAAAGTGAGGGGAAGGGAAGGAAAGAGGGAGTGAGGGCAGTAAGGGAATGAGGGAGCAGGGAGCGAGGAAAGGAGGAGAAGGAATGTAAGAGGAGGGAGAGAGGGAGGGAGTGGGAGAGTGAGAAGAGTGAGGTGAGAGTGGGAAGAAGGAGAGGGAAGGAAGAGGAGATGAAGGAGGAAGTGAGGGAAGTAGGGAGTGGAGAGAGAGGGAATTTAGGGGAGAGGAAAGGTGGGAAAGATGGAGTGAAGGAAGGGAGGAAAAGGGGGAATGAGAGAGGAGGGAGAGAGAAGGAGGAACTGAGAAAGATGGAGTGAGGGGAGAGAAGGAAGGAGTGAGTGAGGGAAGGAGATAGTGAAAGGAGAGTGAAATGGTGAGTAAGCAGAGGAAGGAGGGAAAGAGGATAGAATGTGAAGCAGGGAAGGAAGGAGTGAAGAGAGAGAGGGAAGGAGAAAGTGAGGGAAGGAGTGACTGAGGGGAGGGATAGAAGGAGGGGGTAAGGGGAGGGATGGAAGGAGAGTGAGGTGAAGAGTGAAGGGGCATGAGGGAAGGAGGGAGTGAGGGCTGTGAGGAAATGAGGGGAGAATGAAGAGAATGAGAGAGATGCAAGAAGGGGGAGAGGGAAGAGAGTCAAGAAGGGAATAAGGGAAGTGGGGAGTGATGGGAGAGGAAGGTGGGAGTGAGTGGAGAGAGACAAGGATGGGGAGAGGGGAGAGAGAAAGGAGCGAATGAGGGAAGGATGGAGCAAGTGAATGAAGGAGTCAGGAGAGAGGGAGTGGGGGACAGAGGGAAAGGAGTTATAGAAGGAGCGAATGAAGGGACAGGGAAGTGGAGAGTGAGATGAGCAAGGGAAAGAGTAGGACAGGCAATGTGGGAAGGAGTGGGATTCCAGAGGGAAGAAAGGGGAGAGGGAAGAAGGGAGTGAGGAAAGGAGGGAATAGGGAAATGTGGGAGAGTGGGACTGAGGGCACCAGGGAGGTAGGGGAGAGAGGGAAGGGAGTAGGGCAGAGATGGAATGGGGGAGGAGGAGAGAGGGAGTGAGGGGAGAAGGGAGTGATGGCAGTGAAGGAATGAGGGGAGAAAGGGAAGAACAGAGGGAGGGAAGAGATGCGAGGGGGAGAAGGGAAAGAGTGAAGGAGGAAATGAGGGAAGCAGGGAGTAATTGGAGAGAGAGAAAAAGGGAGTTAGGGGACAAAGGGAAGGAGGGAGAGAGAGAAGGAGAGAGAGGGGGAGAGAGGGATGGAGAGAGGGGAGCAGGAGAAGGGGAAGAGGCAAGGAGGGAATGAGAGAAGGGGAGAGTGAGGGGAGAGAGGGAAGGAGGAGTAAGGGGAGAGGGAAGGAGGAGTGAGGGAGAGGGAAGGAGGGAGTGAGGGAGAGGGAAGGGGGAGTGAGGGAGAGGGAAGGGGGAGTGAGGGAGAGGGAAGGGGGAGTGAGGGAGAGGGAAGGAGGGAGTGAGGGAGAGGGAAGGGGGAGTGAGGGAGAGGGAAGGGGGAGTGAGGGAGAGGGAAGGGGGAGTGAGGGAGAGGGAAGGAGGGAGTGAGGGAGAGGGAAGGGGGAGTGAGGGAGAGGGAAGGGGGAGTGAGGGAGAGGGAAGGGGGAGTGAGGGAGAGGGAAGGGGGAGTGAGGGAGAGGGAAGGAGGGAGTGAGGGAGAGGGAAGGGGGAGTGAGGGAGAGGGAAGGGGGAGTGAGGGAGAGGGAAGGGGGAGTGAGGGAGAGGGAAGGAGGGAGTGAGGGAGAGGGAAGGGGGAGTGAGGGAGAGGGAAGGAGGAGTGAGGGAGAGCGAAGGGGGAGTGAGGGAGAGGGAAGGGGGAGTGAGGGAGAGGGAAGGGGGAGTGAGGGAGAGGGAAGGGGGAGTGAGGGAGAGGGAAAGGGGAGTGGGGGGAGAGGGAAGGAGGGAGTGAGGGAGAGGGAAGGGGGAGTGAGGGAGAGGGAAAGGGGAGTGGGGGGAGAGAGGTGAGAGAGGGAAGGAGGGAGTGAGGGAGAGGGAAGGGGGAGTGAGGGAGAGGGAAGGAGGAGTGAGGGAGAGCGAAGGGGGAGTGAGGGAGAGCGAAGGGGGAGTGAGGGAGAGGGAAGGGGGAGTGAGGGAGAGGGAAAGGGGAGTGGGGGAGAGGGAAGGAGGGAGTGAGGGAGAGCGAAGGGGGAGTGAGGGAGAGGGAAAGGGGAGTGGGGGGAGAGAGGGGAGAGAGGGAAGGAGGGAGTGAGGGAGAGGGAAGGGGGAGTGAGGGAGAGGGAAGGAGGAGTGAGGGAGAGGGAAGGAGGGAGTGAGGGAGAGGGGATGTGTGAAGGAGGGAGTGAGGGAGAGGGAAGGAGGAGTGAGGGAGGCGAAGGGGGAGTGAGGGAGAGGGAAAGGGGAGTGGGGGGAGAGAGGTGAGAGAGGGAAGGAGGGAGTGAGGGAGAGGGAAGGGGGAGTGAGGGAGAGGGAAGGGGGAGTGAGGGAGAGGGAAGGAGGGAGTGAGGGGGAGGGGATGTGTGAAGGAGGGAGTGAGGGGAGGGAGTGTGTGAAGGAGGGAGTGAGGGGAGAGGCAGAGGAGGTGTGAGGGAATGAGGGGAAAGAGAAGGAAGGCTCAGAATAATGGTGGAAATGAGAGCGGTGGTAGAGTGGGAAGGAGGGGAGGGTGAAGGAGGCAGTCAGGGGAGAGAGGGAAAAAGTGAGTGAGCGGATATAGGAAAGGAGGGATTGTGGGAAA